AGGATATTAGAGTCTACAAGTTTACTCAACAAAATGAAAGGATTACACACCTTCATCCAGGAAATAGAGACTACAATTTTCTAATAAATTAGCATGAAATAACTGTGTTTGAATAAATTAATTGTTTGCTTAGTTTCGATGTGACTTCTGGCAAAGGATTGTTTGATGTTAAGCACAAAGCTACACTATTGACTATCTATTCTCTACCCATCACTGGTTTTGTACCTTGTTTTTTTGTGTTTTAAGTTTTTATTCTTACCATTTAGCCACTGGGAGGTTAATATTTAAATGACTTCTAATGAAATTCGTGTGCTTATTGTTGTAGTCTTTTTCGAAATTTATTGCTGCAATTTTTGTTTTCAATAACTATAACATACACGTCAAAGTACAGTGTGTGTGATGACACGAGGTTTTGCATTAAATGTTCTTAATTCATCCTCTAATATCTATAATTTGGATTATATTTGAACAAAAGTAGTTTTAAACTTAATATATCGGTGATTATTTATATTGTTCTGTCAATGGTTTTTGCTTCTGTTATACATTATTAAAATAGGTATAATATGCAGCAGAATGATATAATGGTTATTAGAGGAACAACAAAACATTCAGTATGTACTGCCAGACATCAACATAAATGAAAATATTGCAAGTAGAAACGTTAGATAACTGTGATATATTCACCCAAAGTCTTAAGCTTGCCTCTTGCTTATTTGAGATAACTAAAAATATGACAGGCAGTTAGAGAGCAAGGAATCTTGACTACAGAGTTTTAAGAAAGACAGGCACTGATTACTTAGCTTGAGTACAGATATATTAGAAAGTCATTAAGGCGGTTAAACATCAAAAAAAGAGTAGATTTCAGCTCATAATTAGAATCCATTGAGAAAATTATATTTAGTGAATATTTCTGATAAGCATGCAGCATTATCAGTGAATGATAGAACTATTAAAAGCATGTTTGACTTGGACAATTAGCAGACATTCTCAAAACATATCATAGTCTGCAGTAAGGCTCAAGTCATTGAGTATTGCAAACATTTCATTTTACTTGGGAAGCTCCCCTCTCACGAGTAAACTGGATCATGGAAGACATTCTCAAAACATATCATAGTCTGCAGTAAGGCTCAGGTCATTGAGTATTGCAAACATTTCATTTTCCTTGGGAAGCTCCCCTCTCACGAGTAAACTGGATCATGGAAGACATTCTCAAAACATGTCATAGTCTGCAGTAAGGCTCAAGTCATTGAGTACTGCAAACATTTCATTTTACTTGGGAAGCTACCCTCTCACGAGTAAACTGGATCATGGAAGACATTCTCA